TGGGCACTTAGGTTGTTTCCAACTCCTTGCTATTGTGAACAAAGCTGCAATGAACATGGGTGTGCAAGTTTACCAAATTATTAACAATTCCAATGTCTTCATCTGTTAAATGAGAATAATCATTTATAACTCATGGCAGAGGTTTTTCAAACAGGAAGAATTTATTAAGATGTAAATAGCAATCTCTGAGTATGCAATGTGAACATGATTTCATTAGTTATGAAGCTTCCCCAATCTTATTAAAAATATTAAAATATTAAAGAGAATATTAAAAATATTCTCACTCCATTTCTTCCATCCCTGTCTATTCTCTATTAAGCTTCTCCTTTCTCCTGGACACCACAAAGCTTCTTCCTGTAGGTAGACTACTTTTCCAAACTGCTGTACCACTTCATCATCTCTAACATCAACTCCTCCTCCTCCTCAGGACTCTCCCTTCTGTCTTTGGGTCCCATCATTCACTGTAACATTTCACAGAATTCACACACACCACTGAGGAAATGGCTTACACAGTTGTGAAGGCTGGCAAGTCCCAAATCCATGGATGAGACATTAGACATAAGTTTTCTCTTGGATCATGTGGTTTCAGAAGTTGATAAACCCACATCAGCAGACCAAACAACAGGCTGCTGATTCACAAAGTGGTGAAAGCTTGAGAATCAAGTTAGACTATATAGGCTGCTGTCTCAAATTCCAAGAACCAGATCTAGTTGGTCAGATGATGACCAACTAGATGGAAGAACCAGAGTGCAAGAATTTTATTAGAGCATCATTTTTATTGGATGCAGACCACATCCTCAAGGAACTTTCCTTTACTTGAGTAAGGTGGTGCAGTGTCATGGTAGATGGAGAAGAGATCGAGGTTAGTAGTGATTTCAACTTGCTCAGATCCACAATCAACACCCCTGACAACATCAGTCAGGAAATCAAAAGACAAGTAGCATTGGGAAAATCTGCTCTCAAGTACCTCTCCAGAGGGCTAAAAAACATCATCAGTCTAGAGACTAAAGCGTACCTGATCCATGCCATCATTTCAGTTGCTTCCCATGCATCTGAGATCTGGACAATGAATAAAGATTGCAGAAGAAGAATCAATACCTTTGAGTTGTGGTCCTGGAAAGATTGAACATACCATGGATACTAAAAATTAGGTCTATCCCAGAGAGGGTGAAATCTAGTTGCTCCTTAGAGGCAAGGATTTTGAAACTCTGTTCCACATACTTTAGACATGTTTCCAGAAGAGACAGTTCTTGGGTAAGGACATCATGCTTGGAAAGGTAGAGGATCAGCATAGAAGAGGCAGACTCCAGATGGCATGGATTGGCACAGTGACTGTAACAATGATGTCAGGCGAGTCTGAGATAGCAAGGTTGGCTTAAAATAGAGCCAGGTCATAGGGTGGCTATGAATCATAATTGACTTGATGACACATAACAACCACCACCACTCAATAATTGGAACTCTGTTGGCCTCCTGGGCAAGGAGTTGTGCTGCCAGCCTAAAGAGAAGTGGTTTGGACCCACCAGCTACTCTATGAGAGGAAGATGGATGATGATCTCCTATGCAATTTATA